TGTGTGTGTGTGTGTGTGTGTGTGTGTGTGTGTGTGTGTGTGTGTGTGTGTGTGTGTGTGTGTGTGTGTGCCAGCTGTAGGTCTTAGTCGAAGAGAGGAGAGTCTATTTATGTGTGTGTGTGAAAGAGCGCGACGAGCTGCAGATGATGGTAAAGCAGAGTTAGCCTCTTTGCACACAGACAGTGGTCTGAGGTCAGAGCCGCACTTGTGCCAAAATGTCACCAAAGCGCTCAAACAGAAGTTAATGAAGCTCTAATCTGGTCCCTGGAACTCTTTAATTGGACTTTACTGCAGGGCTCGGATCTGTAGGTGCATGAACTGTGCAGATATTAAAGCAAATCTGTTTGAATATAAATAATGTACACCTATAGCAGCTGTTTCTTATCAAGGAGGGAGATTATTCAGATTTCTATGATATAAAGTTGTTGCAATTCAGCACAATTCAATACCAGATTTCTGAAGTTTGTGTTTACATTATTAAAAAATAAAGGACTGTTTTAGTGTAGTAGTTTCTAAATTTCTGAAGTTCTGATCCACAAAAATACCAACAGCAGGATCTGTGACCACAGCTAATGTCTGAAGTGTAGAAAAATAGATGAATAAAAGAATACATAAAATATCTTATCAACTATTTAGGTGAGCATTTTTGTCTAATTATGTCTGCTATATTTTTAACCTTTGTTTTACCAGGCAAAACATTAAGAGTAACTTCTTATTTACAATGTCAGCCTGACGGGTAGCAGAGACACCCATAAGGAAAAGGTGAAGAAGAAACAAAGCATCAAGCAAACAACATATCCTCTTTGTTCATATTATAACATGTTTTGTAATTTTTGTCATAACAGGTCTCTCTTGGAAATGAGATTCTGAATCTCAATGAGACTACTTGTATTAATAAAGGTCAAATAAAAATAAAATAAATGAATAATTTTTGGCAAAAATGCACTTGATTTCTAAAATGACGTTGTTTTTGAAGAAATCTCATTGTATTAAGAGGGATTTTGTTCTAGATAAAGTAAAATATTTTAAAATCTACAAAAAAATAAAAGGTCTAGCAACAAATCAAAAAGAAAAAATAAGTAGGTCCTCTGGATGGGTTCTTCTTTAGTGAAATGTTTCATCTCTTGTCCAAGAGACGTCTTCAGTCTGATGAGTTTCAGGTGAACTCAACCTTATAAGCACTGCCTCCACATGGACAAACAGGTTAGTCACATGCAAACGAGGGCCATCGCCAAACAATAGGCTTGATTAGCTCCTGAATTCACTACATACACATGACGATACCTAAGAACCACAGCATCCAAAGCAATAAGTCAGGTGATGGGGCACATGACCCGAACAATAGAGCTAATCAAGCCTATTTTTAGGCAATGGCCCTCTTTTGCATGTGACTAATCTGTTTGTCCATGTGGAGGCAGTGCTTATAAGGCTGAGTTCACCTGAAACTCATCAGACTGAAGAAATCTCTTGGACGAGAGACGAAACGTTTCACTAAAAAAGAACCCCTCCAGAGGACCCACTTCTTTTTTTCTTTTTGATTTCTCTACCTGGATTACTGAGATGCATCAGGACGTCTAGCAGCAAAGCTCAGAACAAGCAGAGCCTTTTAAAGTGTGATCAACTAAAACAGCACACAAAAGTATAATGCAAAACGGTGAAAAATAAAGGGAAAACAATTATTTCAGTTCTAAATTAACACTCATTTAATTATGAAAACACACAAAGAAAGATTATTTTTACAAGGCATAGCTTGATCTGTGCCTTGTAGAGTAAGTCTGAACCGAATGTCTCCAAAAACGGCTTAAAACCAGATTGTGCCATATTTTTTTCTTTATGCTAAATAACTAAAATTAGCTGACTCCCAGAGTGCTCTGAGATCATGTTACTAACTCGGCCAGTCAATGAAAACATGTCACCAAATACTTTTTTTTTCTGACTGACCTGCAGAGCGCTGTTTAGGAAGCAGCTGTTCTGTCCCGGCTCGTTGCTCAGGCCTTTGCTGGGTGCAATGGAGGTCATAGTTCTCGGGGTCACCAACCCCTGCACCCCGGCAGCCGCCCCGCCGCCTGACGCAAAGTAGTTCCTCTTCCACGACATCCCTACCTGGTGGACGTCCCCGTTTCCACAGCGGTGCAGAAAAGGGGCAAGGCAGAAAGCTGAGCGAAAACCTCTATGTCACTCCCATGGGAGAGAAAGATGGAGAATGAAAGGAAGGAGGAGCGGGAAGAACTGGAAGGAGGAACTAGTGGATGGCTGTAAACTGAGGAGACGCTTTGTGCCTTGGAGAGGGATTTGGCCCCCATACAAACCTCCTACTCTCCAGACGTGTTTACTTAAAAACTGGTGGATTTGTAAGGGCCAGTGGCCGGCTTTTGATTTTCTGATTTTAGCTTCGTAGATTTAGAAGTCTGAGTTTGAAGCCACGAGAGCAGTTCCAAAGCATCCTTTGGCGGATTCTGTCAGATAAATGAAGCTTGGACAGCACTGCTGCTCCTATGTGGGGACTGTGGTGCTTTCTTCTTCTTCTTTTCACTGTAAGACACACAAAAAAAAAACAATCTGTTAGACCTCAAAACACCTCACAACAGCAACGTTTGAAAACTAAAATCTGCTGACAAGGAACATCAGTGGGTGATCTGGTGGTTAGACATTATAGAAACATCTTTGGGCATCGTAGAACTGGCTGCCATCGCATCAGACTGGTATCTGCCAAGGAAAAGCCTCAGTCCGTGCTGGGTCCACTATGGTCCTGCTGAGGGGATTTGCTTTGTGGAGACGGAACTGGTCCTCAAAATCATCAACATATCCTAGTCTGATCATACAGAATCAGATCAGAACATCTAGTCGGCTAAACGTTTAGTCAACTCTGAGCAGAAAGGTACCTTCGGCAGTCTCTCATCGTGAACGGTGTATTTCAGTCGATCAGTGCTCCACACACAAATAATCACTTTGTAAAACACAGATGTAATACGGATGAATAAACAGTATCTGTCATGGTTGGTGTAGGATGAACCCAGACTGACACAAGGAGCTTCGATTAGTAGCATAGGCTGGACAAAGACTTCTGTCCTTTTCTTCATACTCATAATTTATGGCTAATGTCACAGTTAATAACATACTAATTACTGATAACTTTTTAACAGGACATCACTTAATAATTTCACTGGCTCCCTTAGCTTCTATGGCTAAATGAGGTTTAAACGTAATCAAATTCTCAGTAAAGAATAAATGAGAACCACAGCAGGACTCATTTTTGAAATTGCATAAATTTCTTGGTCAATTTGGAAGTCAGTTTTATAATTTGGGCTAAATTTGATTTGCAAGAGTGGTGCCCACACATGCATTCAGATGTCTGAATTACACAGTCACTTAATTGTCCAAAATCAGCTTTTATTCTCAATGTTTTATTTTGGACACTTTTTGTGTGTTATGTCATTTTAAAATCGGTACTCAGGGACTTTATCAGGAGATTAAGCAGCCTCCAAATATGGCAACCGTCTGAACATGTGTGCGACGATTAAAGCGTCCCTTGATATGTCTTTAGTCATCCTACAACACGTGTGCATGCCTGTGTGTACATTCATTTGCATAACATCACAGGGGCAGTAGGTAACAGATCCGCAGTGCCGCTTCCACCCTCCCTTTCCTTCCTTCCTTCCTTCCTGCTTTCCTTTCCCTACAGCTTCCCCACTTTTGGCAAGACTCCTTTGCCTGATAGCTGGGCTGCATTAATGCCACAGCATCCCTTGGCGAAAGGCCAAAGGGCACAGGGATGCTGCAGCGAGGAGTTGAGCAGCATGGGAATTCACCATGGTGACTGCCACACTGGATGAGCAGGAAAATTGGATGATGAAAGAGGTGGAACAGAGGAACACAGTGACTAGAACAACAAATCTATCTATCTATCTATCTATCTATCTATCTATCTATCTATCTATCTATCTATCTATCTATCTATCTATCTATCTATCTATCTATCTA